TTTTTCGCAGTTTGTAACAGACAGCTAAGAGCCGATCAATATACTGTATACATAAAGCGCTGGTTTTTAAACCAGCATCAGAATATAGAAGAAATGTGGCAATAAGTTTTTTTGAAGAGTATATTCCAAAGGTATGTTTAGGGCATTATAAAAGAATTAGAAAATTTAAGTTGCCTATTAAAATAATAATTGCCACATACAGGAATTAAAACCCATTATTTAAAAATAAAGGAGAATAGTATCTTTTTGTGGTCTGACTCAAAAATATGCCAAACTTGTTCTTTAACTGAGTGACACAAGTCTATGCAGCCACAGAATGATTAACTGTTAAACAGTATATTTCTGTAAGCAAAAACAAGCTTTTGAAATATGGCTATAATTACTGTCACATTAGCACATTGTGAATTAACCCCATTAACACCTACTGAATTTTACACTCATTTGAGCAGGAAAATGTGGTTACATCATCACCAAAAATAAAATAATATTTCTTGCTCCCCGATCCAGGAAACCTGCAGGGAAATCAATGAATGAGTATTTCTGGTCCTTTACATTTTCAGTCTCAGTAAAATTCTACTGCTTTATAGAAATAGACCTAGTACTTCCCCTGCTGTAATTAGAGCATGACATAATACCTAGGTATGGAACCTAGATTTGCTCTTTAGTTGGTTCATCATAATGGGAGATGGCCCTTCAGTACAACTGAGGAAATCATATCCTGCTTAGTGCAACCATTTATAATATGGTTCATTTGAGCTCCATTTATTCCATGTTGCAATTAAGTTTCTTAAAACGATAGATCCCAAAAGCTCTGCCAACCATTAGGTTAATCAGAAGTCAACACCTCAAGAAGTTTGGAGTGCCTTGAAACAGCAATTACTTGCCAGAACAGCTTCTTTTCTTGCTCAGTGGACGCCCTTACCACCCTTGGTGCAGCCAGATCTGGGCTGATGGAGCAAGCCTTCCATTAGACTGCCTTGTTTCATAAGCAAGTATTGTCCAGTGACACTGAAGTCTGTATGGTAAAAATTGCATGGACCATGATTGAATTTGGTAGTACCCTGGAGGAATGTGTCAGTCGTTGGTGATCCCAACGGAAACATGAAGGAATTCAGTATCAGGAAATGGAGGTCAGCTGTGTCAAAACCAACAGAAATTTATCAACTGATTTTGGACTGTCACTCTAGAAGTGACAAGTGGAAGAACCACAGGCTCTTTTAAACACAAGATATGCAAGTCTTTATATGTTCTATGGCACACTCAGAAGAACATGATATCAAATGTGTAATCACATAAAGAATTATTTAAGCACCTTTACGGAATGCCTCATTGTTAAAGAGACTCATGTACAGCATCACAATAGCCTTACAACAATTATTCCCATATTGCAAGTAGACTGAACTTTGCCTAAGGTTACCTTAGTAAATGCTCACTGCTCATTTCACGCCTTTGAACATAAAGCTGTTTTTCATTTGTATACCCAAATGCCTGAGAATCCGGGGGGGGGGGGAATAGTATCAGGTAGGTTCAATCAAAACAACAAGGATAATAGAATTCCTTGGAATTCTGGAGGCATCTCTACCCAAGGAATGTGTTCAGTACAATGAGGTTGTAGAGATTTTTATGGCTTCCATCCCCTTCAAAAGCTACTTTAAAGAATTTGGAATGGAGATATGACTGAAGATGACCTCTCCTCATTTCCAACATTTGCTATGAGGGCAATCTATAAACCAAAGGAACTGGTTCTAGAGACATAAGCTCAGAATTTGTGGGAAATGAGCCCCTCTGTCAAGTAACACCGAGTGGAGGTGATGCAACATTCCTGTGCCACAGGCATCTGAGAGACAAAAACAGAGAGAGAGAGGGAGAGGGAGAGGGAGAGGGAGAGGGAGAGAGAACAAATTTGAACCAACTGATTCTGTCTGCAAATATATATTGGGGAAATGGTCCAGAGGTGGGTTTCAGCAGGTTCTGACCAGTTCTGGAGAACCGGTAGCGGATTTTTGAGTAGTTCGGAGAACCGGTAGTAAAAATTCTGACTGGCCCTGTCCCCATCTATTCTCTGCCTCCCAATTCTCAGCTGATGGGGAGGAAATGGGAATTTTGCAGTAACCTTCCCCTGGAGTAGGGTGGGAATGGAGATTTTATAGTGTCCTTCCCCTGCTATGCCCACCAAGCCATGCTATACCCACCAAGCCACACCCACAGAACCGGTAGTAAAAAATTTTGAAACCCACCACTGAAATGGACATATTTTAAACTATTCCACAGCTCATATGGAGATGCTCATTTCATTTCAACATAGGCAACACGATAGGAGAAAAGAAGAAAAACGTGTTTTGTAATTTTGGTTCTTCATGTAAAGAAGTTAAAATGAAGCAGCACATCACTGGCAAAGCTGAACCATCACCAGTAGAACAAGGAGATACTGATTCTGTCACTTAGTCTTCCCCTGTAGACCATGACCCATATCAAAGGTCTTTTGATCACTGCTCAGAGGAACGGGTACTCTAGAACGCAAGATGAATCACAGAGCTCAGAGAGAGCTTCTGGCAAATCCAGAGGACAGAAGATGCAACATGGACAACGTCTCTTTATAAGTGACCCCAGAGACTGCAGTACTGACAATTCCAGTGAAGAACTGCTCCAGCTAGAGTCCTTCATGATGATTGATTAACGAGAGATGATCAATGTCTCCCCAGAGACTCCAGTACATAGATTATCTTAACCGTTAAGATGTCTGGCTGAGAAGAAAATAGTTACAGTTTTGTTTTGTTTTATTTTTTAAACGACTAGGGCAGAGAGTGAAGGATTAAGCAGAATTTAAAGCTATACATAGATCCAAAGAACTGAATCTATGTAGAGCTTTATTATCATAATATGAATGACATTCATCATTCATGCATGTCTTTATTTCATTATCTATGGCATCTCACAATCCTTTCTCAAAGTTTGGGTGTATGTCTGAGAGACGGAGGAGTTTAAGGAACTGCTATAACCAGAAGCAGCAAACGAGGCAGCAAACCAAAAAGTAGACTAGAGAGATCTACAAAGGAACTAGCAGTTTTTCTATGTGATCTCTTTATGAAAGAAAATGGAAAATAAATGTGAAATTTTAAATCTAAGCTACACCATGGAAGCACTGGGGAATGTGGATAGACAGATAGACAATAGATAGGTGAAGGCTTATTCATTATGCTAAGTACTTTCTCTAAGTCAACAAATGTACAATAAACATTCTTTTTCACAGAGGTACAATTCTTAATGATTTGCAGAAGACCCAAAAGCAGGGATGAAATTCAGCAGGTTCTGACAGGTTCTGGAGAACCAGTAGCGGAAATTTTGAGTAGTTCGGAGAACGGGGAAATACCACCTCTGGCTGGCCCCAGAGTGGGGTGAGAATGGAGATTTTGCAATATCCTTCCCCCAAGAGTAGGGAGGGAATGGAGATTTTGCAGTATCCTTCCCCTGCCACACCCACCAAGCCACGCCCATCAAGCCACACCATGCCCACTAAGCCACGCCCACAGAACCGGTAATAACCACTGTGGTAGCACCACTGCCCAAAAGTTCTTTTTCAAAAGGGAATTGGACTTCCCTTTTGCAAAAGAATATCTGCTCAGCTCACCTTCTCCTTGGGGTAAAGCTATAGTATACTTTCTAAATTTTCCTCATCCTCACCTCTCATGTCCTTTTAGTCAGAATTCTGCTAAACTTTCCTGGTACAATTAATATATTAATGTCATATTCTATTTTTTTTCTATTTGACCTTGATATGTCTGTGCATGGATAGGCAGTTTTACCCACAAATTAAATAAATCATAAATCTATTGCATAAGCAACACCCATATTTTAATATTTCTTCAGTTATAGCATCAATTTAATCTGTAGCCTTATCATTTTGCAACATTGTCAAAGCATTTCTTTTTTATCAATTTTTCTTGGACATGAACAGTTCAGACATGAATTTGAATGATGTATCACTATCATTTTTATACAAATCTTTAAAATTGTCCTCTCAGCATAATATTCTTTTATTCTATCAGTGTCTGCCTCTTTTTTATTTTAACTGCTCCTTACTCTTAGGCTGTTGGTTTGAGCTCCGAGCTTGGCAATTTGGTTGCAAATATTTCGTCACCATTCGAGGAGACATCGTCAGTGCGTTTTGAATTGATGCATTTTGAATTGACAATGTCTCCTTGAATGGTGTTGAAAGATTTGCAACCAAATTGCCAAGCTTGGAGCTCAAACCAACAGCCTAACTATCAACAACCTAACTACCAGCCCAAGCTAATATTCAAACACATTTCAAGCTCCTTACTATTCTTGACTCTATTTGCGTTTTTTTCCCCTAATATACATTATATAATATATTTCATCCATCATTCATTTTTTCCAACAATAATTTTATTCTATGTATTTTTATGATCGATCCCCTCTTTCACGTCATTGTTCCACTATGCATCTTTCCTATACTTCTTTGAGCATAACTCCACACATCTGTGACACTCTCTAGCTCAGTTTTTTTCACTCTCCTCAAAGCAGTTTCTACAACCTCTTTCCCAATGGCATTTTTGGGGGAAATCAAACTGGCCAATCTTATGAAAGCAATGTCAGTTCTTCCCTTTTTGTTCATGCATCACCCCATGTCTGTTCAAAAGGGGTAAAATGTATAGCATAATGTCACAACACTGCCTTCTTCATTACAACAAAGGAACTAGAGACATGTATGCTCATTTTGCCAATTTTTCATTCCATTTTAGCTTCCCATAAAAGACTCATATCTGCTTGTCTGGTGCTGTTATGGTTCTAATTTCATTCAAAGTGCCTTCACTTATTTTTCTTTTCTTTCCATTTACACTTTGTTCCCAAGATCTGCTCTTAACAGAATCAAATCTGTCCCATATTCAGAACTACCTTTGAATTTTTTTTACTAATTTTCTGTCATCATGAACCATCAAAATTAATCACAGTTTTTGATTTTTCATTCATTCCTTTACCTTATTTATGTAGGATGTGTAAATTCCCTTTAGTTTTTCCTTTTGTGAAAAGTCAGATCAGGAGGTCTTCGAAGCAGAAAATTGGTGGTGGTGTTAGCTTATCTCTACTTTCCTACATTTGGTAAATGAGTAGGATGCAGTGGAAGTAAAGTTTGGAAAAGGCAAAAAACAAATAATAAACTCTCAGTATAGTAAAAATCCAGGGTATTTTGAGGGTAGAAGGTACTCTTTCTGCTATTTACTTTTCTTATTTTCTATGCATAGATCTGTAAATGAAATACACATTAAAAATTAGTATAAATCTTTACAGTGTTACCTGTTCCAAGGAGCACCCTCCCAGGTAAACCAAGTCAAGAAACAAATTCTACAGAAATAAAGTTTCACTTTACTGCGATAATACAGAATCTAGAACACCTGCTACTCTTTTCCTTCCTTCTATTACTAAAGAGAATAAGGAGGAATTGGTTTAAGTTACTTCTTAATGGCATCTTCCTTTTTTTTGGGCCTAGATCATATTTTGCTAACAATTACATTCCTTCTCTAAGATCATATTTGTGATTATCTCCACCACCACATATGAATTGTTTTCATTTGGCTCCATTGCCTTTGGAGCAGTGGTGGGTTGCCCCCGGTTCGGACCGGTTCGCAAGAACCGGTAATAAAACCAGTGGGAGGCTCCGCCCATCACCCCGGATGTCGTCATCAGTGATCTGAAGTAAGGTGCATGCGCGAGCGAAGCAGTAGTAAAGGTAAGTAGAACTCATCCCTGCTTTGGAAGTATAAATATTACTCTTGATCCCATAGTCCACAGATTACCTCCAATTTATTTATTTAGTGTATGGCATAACATACACGGACTTACAAACGTAACATATATTTCACTTAAATTGAAAACACAGTAAAATATGAATGTTAAAATGATATATATTCAGATGCCAATGTATCTGATGTAAAAAAAAAAACCAAAACCCATGGCAACGAAAACCAGCATCAGTATGATGAACATATCCAAAATTTGTTTCATTGCCACCCTCAAAAAATCTACTTGCATTTTTCCTCTTATTTCAAATGGATGAAGTTCAGATCCCAACAAGTTCATCCTGTGTTTGTATTGCCATGCAGACTGTCTGCCATACCACCCACAAAGGCCGTCTAGCTCTTAGTGCTTCATTTAGCCCAGTTAATGAGAAAGCCGTGAGGAGTTTTCACAGCTCATCAGAATGTCACTGTCACAGGATTCATTCTACAATGCTCATCTGATAACATGTTGAACAGAAGAGTTTTGAATTTCTAGTGCATTTTTAAAAAAAACATTTTAGAGATCAGTCTTCTCTCCATAGTAGTTTATCAGGTGGGATGTTTATGTAGACCACTAAACAAATACTTATTCCGAAAGTAGACAAATGCATAGAAACCAATGTCCTTCTTTTTTTTACAAATTCACAAAGCAGTGAAAGCTCTTATAGTGTTGGCCCATTTGAAATGGAATGGCCGATACTCGTTAAGATCACCTATCAGATGACTTGGATTAAGCAAATGGCTGAAAAAGCTCTCTGAAAGCTCAGATTCACAGCATATAGACAGTATCACACTGAAAACATTGAAGAGCTACAGATGGTGAAAACAATGGAGAGACCATGCCTTCATTTTATAACTTGTGGGGAATGAATAACAAATGGAAAGGCTGATGACATGACAGACCTCAAGGAAATGAAATCCAAATGTAAACTACTCTTCCCCCCAATCTTGCTATACTATCCAAAGTCCACTGGAATTGGGAGACCAATAAACTTAAACAAACAGTTCACTATGGCCCTTCCTGGGAAGGTCAAAGGAAGAATAGTTCATTCTGGAAGGGTATGACAAGAATATATATTCCTACCACGGGCATCTAAGGCATGAAGGTCAGCCCAGCTACATAGCTAAAATAAGCAAGCACTTATTATATTGGGCAGCAGCAATATGCGAAGATGCTAAAGGTGGCATAATCACCTTAGTGATAATTAGCCATTATTTCTGTGGGGGGGGGGAAGCAGTGGCAAACGACTCCTACCTTTTTACCAAGAAAACCACATGGATAAACAAGATAAATGATATTCTGTCCAATGATGGGCCCTTCAGGTTGGATGGCATTCAAACGTTACTGAAAAGGACCTAAGAATCTTTCATGCTATTACTGGTATTTAGGACACCACTACATTAAAGTTCAATTTTAATATAGATAGCCTCTTCGACTCTCCATAGACATCTTTGACTCCTCTTTCAAACCTGTGGTCCTCTCTGTTCAGAATGTGAACCTTGCTGCCTTCAGAAGAGGGACCCTTGTCTCTCAGATGCAGATGGACCAAAGAGACTATCTATATTAAATTTGAAAAGCCTTCCCTCAATAGAAAGGGAGGATATGACACCACCTATCTCCTGTTAAAACATAGTCCTCTCAGTAGTCCCAAGTATGTTCCACACACATTTGCACTCTGATTCAGGTGACTTTGAGGATACATATAAACAGGGGTGAAATGCTCCCGGTTTGGACCGGATTGCCTGATCCGGTAGCGATGGCGGTGGGTGGTTCAGAGAACCGGTAGCAAAAATCCCTGCGCCCGCCCCCCCCATGCCCAGCTGAGCGACACGATCATCAGAAGCTTTTAATTTTTTTTTTACTTTTAAAAGCATTTTTTCTACAACCTCTTCCAATGAAAAAATGCTTTTAAAAGAAAAAAAAAGCCTCTGATGATCGTGCGGCTCAGCTAGGATCGTTAGAGGCTTTTCAAAGCATTTTTTTCTGCAACCTCTTGGCCAAAGACGTGGTAAAAAAAATGCTTTGAAAAGTCTCTGACGATCTCAGCTGAGTTGCCTGATCAGCAGAGAGGTATTTTTTAAAAAGCCTCTCTGACGATCCCAGCTGAGTTGCCTGATCGGCAGAGGCTTTTCAAAGCATTAGAAAAAATGCTTTGAAAAGTTTTTTTTTTAAAAAAGTTGGCTACGCCCACCCAGTCACATTACCCCCCCAAGCCAGGCCCACAGAACTGGTAGTAACAAATTTTACATTTCACCCCTGCATATAAACCAGGGGTGGGTTCTACTTACCTTTACTACTGGTTCGCAACAAGAGCGAGCACGTGCGCGCTTCTGTGCATGTGCAGATCGTACCTTATGATGTCTAGGCAGGTAGGCAGAGTCTCCTGCCACTTTTACTACCGGTTCTCAAGAACCGGACAGAACCAGGAGCAACCCACCACTGATATAAACCCCCAAGTGGCCACAATGACTCTCAAAGTACTAATGACAACCCTCAGAGTTGATTGACCTTCAGAGTACTAACAACCAAATGACTGGGAAGAATATAAAACCTTCCATTCCCCACTAGTTAGAACTGAAGACGTTTCATGAATGAGAAGTCAAACATTTTCAAAGGAAAAAAAAAAACAAAAACCAAGAAAGTCCAGTTGCCCTTTGAAAAAGGCACCTTTGAGAAAACCATGAGTGGATAATTGAGAATTTCCATAGATATGCAGGAATTGATGAATTATTGACAGATGTATGGTAAACAACAGAAGAATCAGCAAAAGTTCTAACCAAACTATTACAGGAAATCTGGAGTATGACATAGTGGACAACAGATTGGAAGAGCTCAATCTACTTATCAGTATCAAAGAAAGAAGACTTAACAGAGTGTACAGACATGCTAGCAAAATAATGTTTAGGATTATCCAACCCAGATTAGAGCCTTGCATGGAAAGGGAGATGCCAGATGTTCCTGCTTGTTTTAGAAAAGGCCAAAAAAAAAAAATCCCAAAAAAAGCATTGTTGCTCTAAGCCAAAATGTATTTTACTGAATTTAGAAAGACTTTTGATTGTATAGGTCATGGGTGTCAAACTCGCAGTGTCATGTTGCCATCATGTAACGTTTCACGACATTTTTCCCATTTGCGGAGTTGGGGTGGGCATGGCCTGTGCGTGACGCATCCGACCCACAGGCTGCCAGTTTGACACCTCTGGTATAGGCTGTCAAATTGTGGAATGTCCTTAAGAAAATGTATTTATTTTCTGTATGGCATCTACAGAGATCATGCAATTACTGATACATAAATTTAGTTTAAATAATCAGTAAATATCAGCAAGCATCAGGGCATAATGAAAAGTTTTGGACTTTTAGGAACCAGCATTCAAGAAATACATATCAGGCAAGCACTTGACAGAGTAGCTATGAAAGTCTTGGAAAAGTATATATGGAATGTATCTCAGAAGGAAATAGAATCATGTAGTCCAGGGGTCTCCAACCTTGGCAACTTTAAGCTTGGAGGACTTTAACTTTGCTGGCTGGGGCATTCTGGGAGTTGAAGTCCTCCAAGCCTAAAGTTGCCAAGGTTGGAGACCCCTGATGTAGTCAATGGGTTTTCCCTGTGATACTCTTTGGATGTGAAAGTTAGATGTTGAACAAGCAGGCTAGAAAGAATATTAATGCTTTTGAACTTCAGCGTTGGGGATGACTCTTGAGAATGTCATGGTAGCCAAGAAAACAAACAAAAGGGTCATAGAACAAATCAATCCAGAGTTCTCATTTGTCAGCCATTTGAGGTAGGCCAGAACAAGAAACAGAATGGATTCCAGGAGAGTTATTGATATAAGGAATAATAACAATCCTGAAAGCCTCTCCGAGGTTCACTACTAAATAAAATCAAGGAAGGGTTATGTTTATTTCTCCCATTTCTTTCAATCTCTGGACTGTGTAATATATTTTCCAAGTCCCTCCTTAATACCCCTTTTTTATCTCACCTTGATTATTTTTATTTTTATTTTTTTATAAATAACTTAAGGTGGCAAACATACCTAAAACTCCCTCCACCTATTTTCCCCACAGCAAGAACCCTGTGAGGTAAGTTTGATGGAAAAAGAGTGACTGGCCTAAAGTCATCCTTTCATCTTTCATATATTGCCCAAGGAAGCTCTAAATTCCTTTATATCACTCAAGATAGAAATGATCAGGTTCAAATTATCCTATTTTGAGTGTTTTATGCAAAGACCCATTTCCCTTGAGAAGTCCATAAAGCTGGGAAGAGAAGGGAAGGGAAGGGCCAGTCCAAGAATAACAAAATTACAGTAATGATCTAGCTGAGACAAGAAATGAAAAACAACATCAAATCACAACCAAACATTAGGAAGAACAGTGTTTAACAGCATCCATCTTAATTGCACAGCAGCTCCGGAGAGGATGAATTGTTGTAAATTTTTTCACACCCTGCTTTGACTCAGTGGCCTCTTCTAGTTAGCAACATTCCTAGGATTGATTCCATGCTGAGTGAGAGAAATGGTTCCAAGCATTTCTTTTCTCTTCACTTACTGGTCATTAATTTCCAGCCTTAGGGAAATATGCACAGTGATCAGCAAGATCATGGTTTTATTTGTATCCTGCCATAACGGGAAACACATTTGCTCATTTAATGAAGTCCCAAACTGGTTTGTCTTTGACAGGAGCCACAGGAGCGACAGAGTAGTTCAGAAGTCATGTGGAAGAGCAGAACAGATGCCAGGTGTTAAAATAAGCAAATGGAAAATGCAGAATTTATGAAGATCACCAACCAATTCCATCTACTCCGGCACAAACCTACAGCAAAATAACTGAATTGCTCTAAATGAAGCAAAGCGATCTGTTCGTCCTTCAAACACTTTGTGTAAGTTTGTCTAATAAAAGTGCATTTTTTTAAAAAAAACATAAGTATATCAGGAAAAAACCAGTCGCTAAAACCATGCAAGTATTACAATGAAACTGTGCATACCATTCCTTACATGTTTGTGGCTCTTTTTTTCATAAGTTGAAATAGATCTCAAAGTCTTTTTCATGTAAAACCTCACTGGATATGGTTGATTTAGCACATGAAACTACAATAAACGCTTATAATAAGGATTTTTTATAAAGGTAAAGGTTCCCCTCGCACATATGTGCTAGTAGTTCCCGACTCTAGGGGCCGGTGCTCATCTCCGTTCCAAAGCTGAAGAGCCAGCGCTATCCAAAGACGTCTCCGTGGTCATGTGGCCGGCATGATTAAATGCCAAAGGCACATGGAACGCTGTTACCTTCCCACCAAAGATGGTCCTTATTTTTCTACTTGTATTTTTTACGTGCTTTCGAACTGCTAGGTTGGCAGAAGCTGGGACAAGTAACAGGAGCTCACCCCGTTATGCAGCACTAGGGATTCAAACTGCTGAACTGCCAAACTTTCGATCGACAAGCTCAGCATCTTAGCCTCTGAGCCACCGCGTCCCGCTTATAATAAAGCATTCTTTAAAAGTGCAAGACTGTCTCTCCATTTTCTATTAGGTTAGCTGGAAAGAAGGGAAGGGTAAGGAAGGGAAGGGAAGGGCAGGGAAGGGAAGGGAAGAAAGGGGAGCCAGTGTGCACTTCCGAACCAGTAGGGAAGGTAAGTAGATTTCATCACACTCCAAAGGTCATAAATGCAAAGATTGGTTGCAAGGCTGCTGTTTTATCACTGTTGTTACTATGAATGTTTGCTGTACGAAGCAGTTGCTAAATAAGGATGAGCTGAATGTTCTGCTAGTTTTTTTTAAAAGAGAGATTCGCACAGCAGAACCTTCAGGTCAATTTTGCCTTAAAAATTTTTATTGTTTTGTTTTGGAGGATTATCTATTCAGAGGTGCTGCCTAATGTCCCAGGAATGGCATCAACCCAGTCCCAAAAGGGATGGTGAAAAAACAAACATAAGAAGAATGATCAGACCTGAAAAGGAGGAAATTTCAAATTTGTTCTCTCTCTCTCTCTCTCTCATTCTCTGTCCCCTCTCTCCCCCTCCCCTTCCCTCCCTCCCTCTCTCTCTGCAAACACTTTAGTCGTTCTTGGTCTTTTTCTTGTTTCATTGTTTGGATATCCGGCACTCGCTCCAAGACATACAAGAACTAATATTTCAAAAGGAAAATGGATTGGTCTGTAACTGCAGATTTCTTTTAAAAGTATGCTGTCACACATTTGAAAATTTGGCCAAGAAGAAAAGGATATTGCTGCTTCCTTTCTAATCATATCCCTCACCTTCGTTTTTCTAACACATTTTTCCCCAGCACTTGTTCAGTTTGATTTGTAGCAGTTGCTCTGAATACTTTAAAAAAAAAAAAAAAACACCCACAAAGTATTATTCTGGAACATTTCACTAAAATGGTATCATCCTGTTTTTTAAAATGCTGCAGGGTTAAATAAACGTGACCCAAGGCATGAAAGCATTCATTTTTTTATTCCCCTTTTGTTCAGTCGTATCTCAACAAATGCATAGGTGTGTACAGTCTGTGTGTTCAAAGATGTATATCCCATTCCTCACTAAAAACCAAATGCAGAGGATTTTAAAAATAATTAGGCCATTCAGCTTTGCCTCTCAAAGCCAAAATTGAAATAGCAAGAAGTACCGTTGTACTTGCCTTGAAGAAATGAGAACTGGATGCAAGTTTGAAACCATGGTGATCGTTATCTGGGAAGAGGAATCTAAATCTCAGCTCCAGAAGTACATGTGCTCCAACTATCTGTAACCAACTCCTATTTTCTGGCCTACAGCCCTGAAAAATCACTGTTTTTACTCTTTTACTTTGCTTTTGTCATTTTAAAGTATTTGTTAACTCCTTAGTAGTAGGAAATAATACATCATCTTGTAGGAAGTTAGCACCCACCCCTTTCCTGGAAGAATGAAATATTTTAGGAAATATTAAAAAGGCAGAATATTATGTTTCCCTGGTTGAGAAATGGAGAAACATGTTTTAAAGACAAAGCAACTCCCACCTTCCTGCCTCCCCCCCTCTTCGTTAATGGGCCAGAGGCAGAAACTCAATCTTTGACAATAGGACCCATCTGCAACTCAATAGCAACAGAAACTAACACAATGGGACCCATCTAGGACAGAAACTCACCACATGGCACCTGGGAAGATTACATCAGCCAGCAAGGATAGCTAAGACTCCCACCCCCTGGGAGTGTGGCAACCAATCAGAATACTCTTTCGGGGCCCCAGGAAGTTCAAAGCCAGAGAAAGCATAAAACCTGGGGACTCACTGTATCTCGCCCCTTTTCTGTTCAGGAACTCAAACCATGTGATCCTGTCCACCATTAAACCATCTTTTCAAGCAGTCTCCATGTTTCCAGTGTCTTTTTCCCCACTTGGAGCAGAACCCAGAAAGATATTTCTTCCAACAGTCTGTTTGACTTCATAGAAATACCTCAAATTCTAATATGAATTCATGACTGCAGGACTAATGCTTAAAAGTGTTGGAATGTTTGCCCACAGAGAAGAGCAAAAGCAAAATTTCTAGCTGACCTAAAATTGATACATGGGCATGCAGCTTTATAGAAAAACCAAACTAAGACTGCATTTAGTCAAATGACTAAGTCAGTGACTTTTTAGCCCACAGAATCGTGTCTGGCTACGGTTGCTGAAAACATAATTTCCCCATATTTTAAGACACAAATATAGTATAAAGCAACCCTCCTGTGAGATTTAAACACTCAAAAAAAAATTATACTCACTAATTCGGGAGACAACTCTGATGTACAAACAAAGAGAATTTACTGGAATGTGTTTGCAAAGGCAGGCCTCCACGTCACTTCCCAAGTTGGATTGAGATCGTGCAGCGCGCTTTTCAAAGTTTCAAACAATACTTTTATACCTTTCCCCCCAGTTTATACCTCCTTCCTCCCAATTCCTGCCTGTTTACATCCTGCGTACGTGTCTAACATGATTCCTTTTGGTTATAGAGTCTTTTATTTACTGATTTCCGGTGTTTTGCAATGATTGCTTTCGCTGTTTTACAACAGGATGCATCTTATTTCTCTCACCCTTTGTGGGTGAGCTTTTTTGAACATTTTGGTCAAGCTGACACATAATAATTAATCTTTTTCTGTTTGTGGCTTTTCTTTTGCCTTGTTACTGAGGCTTTGCAATAGAGCCTTTATAGTTTCTTTTATGCAATTAATACATTCTATAAAAGAGTAACTTTTTATCTTTTCTTACACTCCTGAGATTTCAAATCCTAGAATTCTTAGTAATGTCCATGCTGGCTGGGGAATTCTGGCAGCTGACATCCATATATCTGCAGGGAACCCAGTTGGAGAAGATTTGGTAGGATAGGTAAAACAATAAAACCAAACCAAACAACAACAATCCACAATTCCACCCCAGAAGCAAGAAAAATAGAAAACTGAAGCCTATCTACATGTTTTAGGTTACTTTGCATCTTCTCTTCTCTCTCTACAGCCCTCAAGTACATACAAACAATACAGGTAGTCCTCGACTTACGACCACAATTGAGCCCAAAATTTCTGTTCCTTGTTTAAGTGAGTTTTGCTCCATTTTATGACCTTTCTTGCCACAGTTTTTAAGTGAATCCCTGCAGTTCTTAAGTTAGTAACACTGTTTTTAAGTGAATCTAGTTTCCCCATTGACTTTGCTTGTCAGAAGGTTGCAAAAGGTGATCACATGACCCTGGGATACTGCCACCGCCATAAATACGAGTCAGTTGCCAAGCATTTTAATCTTGACCATAGAGATGTTGCAACGTTCTTAAGTGTGAATAATGATCATAAGTCACTTTTTTCAGTGCCGTTGTAACTTTGAATGGTCACTAAATGAACTGTTGTAAACTGAGGATTCCCTGTATTAAATGCAGGCCTTAATCCAGTGGTGGTGAACCTTTTACTCACCGAGTGCCAAACAGTTATGCGCTTTGCACGCTTTGCGCACGTGTGTGCTACAACGCTAACGTGCGGCTCCTCCACCATGCAGTGCGTGTGCAACTGGACTATCTGCACATGCATGCAGGTTTCGCACAGCTCCCCCTGTGCGCTGTGCATGCAATTGCACCATCTGCGCATGCATGTGGGTTTTGTGCATGCAATGCACAAGCGCAAACAGTGTCTATGCATGCGCATGCTGCGCGCAAGTACTCTTGAGTGCATGCACAAACACGTGCACATGCGCAGGAGAACTCCAAAAACCAGTTGGGTCCCCTGAATTGTGCGCATACACACCAGATGCCCAAACACCAGCAGGGGTGCGCGCCCATGCGCAGCTGCAGATAAGTTGGGCAACAGCTCACATGCCCGGAAAGATGGCTCTGTGTGCCACCTTGGGCACGCGTGCTATAGGTTCGCCATCATGGCCTTAGTCAATAAAGGCTACTTATCCCAACTCTAACTTTTTAGGGAAAACAATGGAGATTGTTCTAAAGCAGGTTCCTCCAAAAGAATAATCTCTAGAATATTCAATTTTATCTCCCAGGCCGCTGGATACAAATTTTAGGAATTATAGTTATAGTAGAGTTATAGTTGAGTTATAGTTATAGTAGAGCAAGACAGTTTTAAGTTGCAGAGGCTTGTTTTAAACACTGGGGTAATGTCCCAGGGTATCTCAACTGTTCTGACAAATAACCAGGGAAGGAAACCTCCAAATGACTACATAAATGCAGCAGCTGTGTTGCAAGGATCCTCTCCCCCATACAAAAAAAAAAAAAAAAAAAATCCATCACACACCATCAATCCAACCCCCAAAAACTATTAGCTGCTGGCAGAAAGCCAACAATCCATTAATGACAGCCTGGTATCTCTTCAGGAATGCAAAATGTTTAACTGAATAAACATTAAAGCAGGAAGCATTTGACTTCTGTCACCAGGCAAAAACGTCAGTGTGATCCTGCCTCGAAAAAGCTCTGAAGTGGGCATGGCAATTTTGCGAAGCTGATAAAAGAGCTATTTGGTACCAGGAGAAGCTGGTGAGATGTGTGCTTGCTCTGTCTTACGGAGCGTGATGTATGAGGTATGATACTTTTATTGGATCAAGTCAACGGTGATACATAAAAGAGAGCAGAAAGAAGGATAGTGGCGGAGAATTCACCAGAGATAATACTTCAAAATTAAACACAAAATTCCTGTATACCTTCTGGAGGAGCAAAAGAGGAAGCAAAAAATAGAAACCTACACAAAACCCTTCCTTCTGTATCAAATACAAAAAGGCTGAACTCAAAGCTGCATCAAGTTTCTTTGGGTTGACTGCATAACATGATCTTTTAATTATAATCAGTTAACCAAATGATTATATCTGAATAAATGTTTTTGAAATCATAAAGAGTGACTTAAATCTTCCAATTAAAATGTACCACTAATTATACAGAGAATTTTCTGTCAGGGCAAACTTACAGAGAAGTACATCCTCACAATTAATATTGAGAAAGTTGGTAAAAATGTTTTTAAGCAGGCATTTGGGGATTAAGGAAGTGATAATTAGATATTTAGGATGTACAATAGATGACACTATTATATATTATGATGTTATGGAAATGAAAATGGAAATTAGCATAGTATCATATTATTTATTACATTACATATTTCACTTTTTTGCCACTGAGGATCACATGAGGTTTCATAAATTTACCTGTAATAAATAAAATAAATACTAAATTTAGAACCTATCTCTTGATCAATGGAGATGTGTATTAATTGATTAAAGGACCAAGTAAAGGCTAAAAACTGTAATGTTTCTTTGGAAGAAACTATTCCATAAATTTTGCTCAAATTTTGTACTTCCTATGGATTATATCCAAGTAGAATTAATAGCAATAGCACTTATATACCACTTCACTGTGCTTTACAGCCCTCTCTAAGTGGTGTACAGAGTCAGCATACTGCCCCCAACAATCTGGGTCCTCATTTTACCGACCTTGGAAGGATGGACGGCTGAGTCAACCTTAAGCCAGTGAGAATTGAACTCTGGCAGTCAGCAGAATTAGCCTGCAATACTGCATTCTAACCATTGCACCACCACAGTTCTTGAAAATATTAACAGGAAAATATTATCACAGGAAAAATGTGCAAATAATTTATCCTAAACTTCGTTATCAAATATTTATGAATAGAGGACTGTGCTGCCATCCCATAAGTAAGTTATTTGAGTAGAACAAGCTACTACAGGCCACTAACTAGGTTCACACCTTATATTAAACTACTATTAGTTGAACAAGTCACAACTGGATGGGTCACCATCTTAAGGTATACATCATAAATTATAATAGGTGGATTGAGACAGCACATTAATCAAAATACAAATAAAATCTTAATTGTGACAGTACAATCTGTCAACAAAAACCAAGGTGTTATCAGTTAAAAAGAATTTCAAATACTATCATTTGGAGTAACTACTTTCACTTAACTTGTCAGCATCTGTAATAATGGACAAAACAATTCCCATAGATTTTAAAGTTTAGAGACACTCAAATCTAAGGGAATTTTACTTAGAAAGGAAAAGAAAAAAGAAAAGAAACATTTTTATTAACACATTCAAATACTGAGTTCAACTAAAGAAACCAACTAAAATATCTTTCATGGAGAATTCATGTTTGCATTTTATAGCTTAATTTTCTTTTAATTTCTTTAGAGTTCAGCAATTCTAAAGCAGTGGGTGGACTTTTAAGTATGTTTTTAAAAATATCTGTGCTGATATTCTACCTCATTTTTCAAATTTGGGGAGCTTATTGAAAAAGATAGAAACAATTTTCTGAAAATGCATTGAATTATCAATCACCAAGACCAGAGAGAGTGTTCTGTTCTTCCCAGACTGAAATGTACTGTTTTAAAATTCCACACAGCTAAAATGGCAGTGAGTTTTCTTTTATCACTGGATATAGGATTAAAAATCAATTTCCCATTTAATGGCACTCTAAGTGGGAGCAACGTTTCCAAGTCATCTGTCTTTATGTGAGAGTGAAAAGAAAAGAATGGAAAAAGGGTTTCTGTAAAACATACTGGAATCTTTTCAGTTTCTTATACCTGAATGTAAGGTATAAGGTAGCATATCTCACACAGTCTATATTTGCCAAAGTAAGGACTAGAAGCTTACTGGACATTAAACACAGCTTTTTAAAATATTATTTCTAACAAACCCTGCATCAAAGGGGGTTTCCTGTTATGCAATTAATATAGATAGTATTTATGTGAGGATGAAAGCTTCTCAAAAATTCGGTTGCCTTGTTTTCTCTGGACTACATGGCATTCTGTCACACCCATAGAGACATGCCAGAGATCATACAGTGTGGGGCCACCTGTCTCTTCCCTCAGGTTACACACATATTTCTGAAACCATTGCTTTTGACTGCCTTAAAAGGGAGAATCTCTTTGATTTGGAGAAAAGAGGACCGGTGGACAATTATGTTCTGCATGCTGTGTCAAGCTAGGTCAGATAATAGCCCTTCTGGTATGTCTGAAAACCTCTTAGTTCAATACACTGCTCCATCTCTTTGGCCAACCTCAGGAAATAATACTCTATTATCTACTTCTTTAAAGCCTCAAATACAACCATCCCAGTTTTCAAGAATTTTGGATATTACTTCGTTCCTGAATATAGCTCCGTAATTCCGGAAGTATTCAGTTTGGAGGTGCAAGTATAGTAAGATAGTAGAGTTGCTTTTCTGGAATAGTTGAGGATTTTTCTGCAAATTTTCATCAAAGAAGGTATGATTCACATAGAGAAAGAAGTATTCTTCATTTCTGAGAATAATTCAAGAGCACATACAGTATTACTGAAACATTGCAATGCATAATAATTCTAGGGTAAATTAAACTTCTTTCTTGAAGTCTTGGCACTCAGAATGAATGCATTAATATGACTGGCAAGTA